CCACTCAAACACAACTGCCCTTTGTTANAAACTGAAAAACATTTTGACTCATACATAACTTTGTTAAATTAATAAGCTCATTTATTTTATCCTGTTCAATGTTTTGGTCCTTTAGCCAGTCTTTAAGAAAATCAATTGTTATATTTATTGGAATATTCGGAAATAAGGCAACTACGTCAAAAGAAATTAACCTGTCATTATTTTGAATGGTATAACTAGATAATTGTTTAACTAAATCAATATTATTTTTAACTGAAAAACTATCGAATTTTTTGAAAGATGAAAATACCCTTACTAGGTGTTTAGCCAAATTGTAAGTCGGAGCATTAATATTCGACACAATAGGTCTCATAGTACTTCCTGGCTTATGTATTTTTGGCAAAGCATATAGTTTAGGTATTTGAGGGTTTGAAATTTTAATGAAAAACCTGAACTTTTCTTCGATTATTAATTTTGAACTATTTATGACGTTTGTAGCCTCCCTTATCATTTTACTTAATGGATTCTTTTTAATTTCTTTATAAGGACCCTCTTGAATCATTCTTGATACTCTTTCATAATAATCTTCTTTTTTTAGAATTACAACAGAATTCCCCTAATCTGCCTTTAAATAAAAACAGTTTTTATTTTTTAAGTAATTTATGAGTCCTGAATGTTTTTCATTTTTTCCTAAACCCCCTTTATTTATAACAGAATTTTTTTGTAGAAAATTTAAACACTCCCTTCTTGCTAAGTCTTGATTATTAAAATCAACACTTTTAACCCCCATTTCAATTCCTACTAGTAGATCTTCCATTGGAAATTTTTTTGGTAAAAAACTTGTTTTAAGACCCAACTTAAGTATTTCAGTTTCTTCAACGGAAAAAACAATGTTTGTGTAATTTTTAACTAAATCGTCCCCCCAGTTTTTAGAAAATGAAACTACCGGACTCTTATTAAAATTATCTATTTGACCCTTATTTTTGTATTCTGAAAGTAAATTTTGAAATTTTTTATTTAACTTTTCTTTTTTTGTTTTAAATTTATGTTCAACCACTTGGTACATCTTCAGCTCGAAGATGTCCCACTGTGATTGACTCAAAAAATTAGAAAGTTTTAAATGTAATTGATAAGCCCCCATTTCTAATCTACTTCTATTGCGATAATGATTTATTATTTCTAACTTAAGAAATTTGTCCTGAGCGAAATTTATTGACTTGTAAAAATTAATATTATTATTGTTTGACTTACTTGATAATCTGGCAAACTTCGGAGTCATATGGAACTTAATACATTTTTTGAGAAAAAATANATAAAAGAAACGTTGTTTATAAAAACAACATGGTGGTTATAAAAGAAATAGCTAAATTTAATGGATATAACGAAAACATAATTTTGAAATTAGTCCGAAAACAAAAGTGGAAAAAAGAAAGGAGGGCAGCTAGTACACTCACCAGCGAGGGGGAACAAAAAGTAATTAGATCACCAATTTTATTTTATCCGGGCATCTCAAATGGATTAACTAAAATATTTAAGAATTTTGGTATTACTTTGGTAACATCTAAGAGTAATAATTTAAGAGATTTATTAGGTAACCCTAAAGATAAGGTAGATGAAGGGGGGAAATCAGGCATTTATAAAATACAATGTGAAAGTTGTAATAAATGTTACGTAGGACAAACAAAAAGAAATATAGGGGTCAGGTTTAAAGAGCACTTAAGAAATATTAAAAATCAAGAAATTGAGAAATCTCCAGTGGCTGAACATTTATTGACACATAATCACTCTATTAAAACCATAAAACTAATTAAAAACGTAAATAATTACAAAGAACTTAATATCAGAGAAGCAATAGAAATGTTTAAAAATAAAAACAATTTAATTAATTGGGATCTTGGCCCACTGAAAAATTCATTATTAAACTTGTGTAAACTGGCAAAATGTGATAATATTACTTAGTGATAACGTCACTAGGTGATAAGGTCACTAGGGGTATATAAGGGAGTTTTTTCTAGTCGGGGTGTCAGTATGTGTTTAGCGTTGATAATGGTAACATTGTTTCCGAAATACGTATCCGCGACTTTTCATTAATTTTTTTGTGGCTTTGAGTTTAATATTTTTTAGTTTTTTAAATTAATAATATTTTTAATATAGTTTTAATTTTACTTAATTAATTAGCCACAAGTGATCAATTTTTATTATAAAGTCAAGCAGTTTAAGTATCTAGGATCGACTATCACTAACAACAATGACTGGAGATTTTAGTCGCATACATAAAGCGAAGAGACATATTTCACAATTCATAAATACCTCAAGTAAAAGCTGTTCTCTAGAGGAACTAAAATTAGGTTATATATGACCATGATAAGGTCCTCGATAACTTATGGGTGTGAAGTATGGCACATAACCCTTAACTAGAAAAGAAGCTACTAGCATTTTAAAATAAAATGCTAAGAAGGATATGTGGCCCAGTTTTTGACAGGAAACTTAACAGATGGCGTAGAAGGAACAATGGAGACCTAAGAAAAACTACTAAATTACCATTACTAACAAGCTACATTAAAAGTCAAAGATTCCAATGGTTTGGACACGCGATGTGAAAAACTGAAAATGCAAATGTGAGAGCAGCAATCAAATGGCAATTGAGAGTAAAAAGAACCAGAGGAATACCAAGGAAGAGATGTATAGATGGAGTTAGAAAGGATTTGGAAATACTGGATGTGACGGATTGGGAAGATAGAATATAGAATCAGGAAGATTGGATAACAGTGACGGTGGCGGTAAAAATTCTTAAACAATTGTAAAGTCAAAGAAGAAAAAGAAATGGAACTACGATGGGCAAATAATCGACTTAGCTAATGAATCTCAAGTTTAGGTATACTTATTTAAGTATACCTACAGTTTAAGTATACAGGATTTTAAATATATTTTATATGATATCAACCACTTAAGAGACTAGGAAGTTGGGGATTAAGTATGGCGCCGGGTAATTAGTAAGAAAGCTTTCGTTCAGATAACCAGAAATCTGAGTTCGAGTCCAATTCAATCTATCTCATTTGATGTAATTACTCTTAAGAATGATTTAGTCTAATTAAAATGTCTAGTTTCACCTATGTTTGCAAATCTACAAAAAAAATATATATGTCCATACATACATTATATATATACATATACAGGGTGATTTTTTTTATCATAAATCACTCAATTAGTTAGTTTTAGTTATTATCGAGGTGGACATAATGCCCATGCACTCAGACCTGTTGGTCCAATGTGCGCACCTCATACCGAATTGTCTTGATTCGGTTTACACACCTAAGTGTTATCACCAAAGTGTTAATACATTACCAACTCAATTACTTACAGAATAATAATAAATTAAACATTTTTTTTTTTGTTATCTTTAGTTAGACATTATTCTTGAATTATTAACTATGTAATACTTTTTAAGTTCATCTCTTATGCCTTGTAAAGATGTCAACTTTGTTTTTTTAAATGTGAACACATATTTTGATTTTAATAAAATGTTTGAGTTTTTAATTTAATAGTAAATGGCATTTGAATTTTTAATATAACTTTATTCGTTTATTAGATATAAACATTTAAAGTTTCAAATTTTTAAGTTAATATATATGTATAATACACAAAGTATTACAAATACAGGTAGCTAATTGTTTTTTATGACTTTGCTGTTGCAGTCACGGATTGTTTACTATCAATTATGACTATCAATAGATAAACTTTTTATATTATCAGTTGGTGTATTTATAAATTCACAACAATGTGCCCTACTACCATTGATAATAACAATGCTGTGTACCTGCGAATATTGATATCATAAAAAACCATGATAAAAAAATCACTTTGTATATACAGTAATAACTTAAGCTATAATTTGTTACAACTTTTGCCATTGACAATTAGTTGAAGAGAGATAACCCTGTGGTTGCATTCCTACTGACTTGAGATTTTCACTTTTAGTGATAAGAAACTTTAAATGTTTATATCTAATAAACAAATAAAGTTATATTAAAAATTCAAATGCCATTTACTATTAAATTAAAAACTCAAACATTTTATTAAATTAAAAATATGTGTTCACATTTAAAAAAACAAAGTTGACATCTTTACAAGGCATAAGAGATGAACTTAAAAAGTATTACATAGTTAATAATTCAAGAATAATGTGTAACTAAAGATATCCAAAAAAAAAATGTTTAAATTATATATATTCTGCAAGTAATTGAGTGGGTTATGATAAAAAAATCACTCTGTATAAATACATTTTAAAATTTATTTCAGTAAATCATATAATTGTAAAAAACATTATTATATTATCTGTACATTAATGAATAAATAAATAAATATTTCATTAATATTTATATACTAATAATAAATTGAAAGCAAATTATATTTTTGCAGGTTGCTATATTTTATATCTTATTAAATAATATTATTTAATTAATTAACATAGTTGCTCTAACTTATGAAATTAGACAATGAAAGTTATTTTTATTCATAACATTAAAAGTCAACTTAGTTGTATAAAATGATATTAAAAAAATAGATTATTGTGTAACAAATTAATTTAGACAGTACATAATTAAAAGAGAATAATTTCTGGCACATATAAAAATCTTACAAATATTATGATATATATTTAATAAAAGTATAATTAAGAACATCTTTTCTATAAAAATTTAATTTTTTCGATATTAAATATTAGGCAATAATAATATCACTTCAGGACAATATTAATTAATAAGTAGTAGATATCGTGAAATAGTTAGAAGTTAAGTATAATTAAAAAGTAGTTTTAGTATTCTCACAATAAACTATTAAAAAATATAACTCACATTTTTGATATATACGAGAAATCATTCAATAGTTAAAAATTTTTAAAAATTTTTTTTAGAAAATCATTTTTATAAAAGCAATATTTTAATAATTTTGATTTGAAAAATAGAACTTTTTATATAAATAAATTATAATAAAAAGGTACTTATTCTTTTAAATACTAAATATGAAAAGAGAATGGTTGAAATTTTATGGTGACAAAATTTACATTTTTTATACGTTATTAGTTTTTTAAAGTTATAGTTATAGTTTTAAGTCAAATTTCATAAAATTATGATGGATATAATTTAATACATTAGGTGAGTTTTTCATTATCATAAAAATATAATAATTATGAAATAAGACTTTAATAAATCAAAACTAATAAAATTTAATTTTTGTGATAATAAGTTACTAAGAATGTTTTAGTTTGTGTGGTTTAATGTACGATTTTTTATAAAAGTTCCAAAATAATACAAACATGAGCATATCTTGTGGTAGTAATATTGCTAAAAATAACTTGGGAAAATTACAGTCATTAACCATAAGGGCCATGCATGCATGTAATCCAGAAAGAACGAATTGGACCTGTGAAGTAGTAAATTATTGATCAGACAATTTTTAATTTTTAAAAATAATTATTGCAGTAAGGCACGTTTCCTTAAACTTAGTATTATCGAACTGTTTTCGTTGCGATTGGTCTGAAACGTGATTATAATTTAGGCTATCANATTTAGTATTATTTATATTTAGTATTATCGAACTGTTTTCGTTGCGATTGGTCTGAAACGTGATTATAATTTAGGCTATCAAGGTAAATAGAAATAATTAAATTTTAATTCTATTTGTTGAAATATCAATTTTTTTTTAATTCAAAATTATTTTTAAAATTTTAATAATATTTTCAAAACAATTAAATCTACAATTTAGTTTCAATATTTTTTTTCGTGAGGACGCTAATTTATGAGTTAATTGCTAAAAACTAATAAAGTATTCATTTTGGCTGATTTTCAACCCCAAGTTGGCACGGGATAAACTTATTTGTTCGGGCTGAACATTTTTGTAGCCGCTTTTTAGATGTATAGTATATATATAAAAAAAGCGGCTACAAAAAATTTGTGTGTATACATTATGTACACACAAATTTAGGGGGTAAGCCGGAAGAATTTCCAAAATTTTAAAAATAAGAGACACCCTAATGTATATATATATATGACAGTATTTTACTTCTAATGAAATTGAAAATATTATTAATATTTTTGAATTAAAAAAAATTGATATTTCAAAAAATAGAATTACAATTTAATTATTTCTATTTACCTTGATAGCCTATATTATAATCACATTTTGGCTGATTTTCAACCCCTAGTCTGCACGGGATAAATTTATTTGTTCGGCTGAAATTTTTTGTAGCCGCTTTTTATATGTATACACACAAATTTAGGGTGTGAGCTGGAAGAATTTATAAAATTTTTAAAATAAGGGGCAATATAATATACATATATACATATAAATTTAGTGTAAACTGGATTCATGATAATTATTATATCTTAGCACACTACTCAGACAAATTTCTTTTGTATAAATCCGTAATTTGTATATTTGAATAGCATTATTTACTCAAAATATTTTTAGAATCCTATATAAGTTAGATTTAATAGAAATGGATCTAATATGTAACATATCTAAATAATCTTGTCAAAAAATATATATAATTTCATATTTGGGTCGTATATAATATGTTAACATATGACAAATATGTTCTGTTACTTATTTTGTTTGGGAACTTGATAAGCTTATCGTATGTTATTCTAATTAACCGAAATTAAACCATTGAATTTTATTGCATATAGAATTATAATATATTAGTACATAATAATAGCCTATAACTATATCAGGGTTAAAATGATTTTTGAAGAAAAAGATTTTTTTGGAGAACAATAATACCTTGAAAATTATTTTAAGAATATTGTTTTATGTCGATAAAATATTTTTTCAATTTTTAGAAACTTACGCGAAATTAAAAAATAAAGTGCAATTGTTTATATTAAATTTTTTGAAAATCAATTATTAATTATTTTCGATTTTGGTATTGAACTTAATTGATATTATTGATATTAAAATCGATTTCAATACTAAGTTTTGCTTGAAAACGTAAACAATTAATGTATATTTGCTGTTTTTATAATTTAATGTTAATTAATAAAACTAATAATACCAATTGTATAATTGTTAAGTACTTTTTCCACCATGCTTTTTTGTAGTTATGATCGATAAGAGTCAGTAAATAATAAGTATACATTATTGTATGTATACATGAGTTGATTGTACCGAAAAAAATAGCTTGACCTCCTAAAATCATCGTTCACAAAATATAATTATATGACTATGACATATGTATCTATTATTTATCTATAATTGTGTTATTGCCTGGGAAAAATTTTAGCAAAATCCATCCAAAAAATAAAACCATTGAGTGATGATAAACATGGAGAAATGATAATTGACTATCTTTTTTCCTCAAAACAAAAAATACCTAAAAAATATAATATAGTCCATTAGTAAAAATAACAATTCAAACAAATTAATTTAACAACCGTGTCTAATAGATCAAGAACTTTTGTCAAATATATCAACCAACCGACAAATAACTTCTGAAAAAAAATTTGTATAAATATTGATAATATGACATATATAATATTGATATATAAAACTGTGTATTACTTCTTTAGCTAAATCGGTATCACTATAGTCAATCATAATACAGTGGAATGTATAATCATCTCGGAGCCATACGAGACGAAAAATCTGAGAAAATATATTTTATTATACATATAAAAAAAATTGTATCTTTGTCATAGAATTATTTTTGTTAAAGTGGAGAATATGACACCTATACTCCCCTTATAATTACGACACTGTAAAATATATCCAGATGTTGAGAAATATATAATCGAACACTGTAATAAAGATAAAAACACATAGTATGTTTAGCATGCTAAACAGTTACAAACAAGTAATTCTCTTCTATGAGGGTTTAAATTTTTAGCTTCGATAAGAAGCTAAGAAAATATTAATTTTTGTTAGTCCAAGAAAATTATCAGTTCTCATTGTACCAATATTAATAATAAAAAAAAAAAAAAATTTAATACTGTTAAATCTATCATTGTCAAAATGTTGAAAAAATTCCTCATTTTTAGAAGTTCAAAAAATATTTCAATAATATGCTACCGTAAAATGTAGCATTTTTAAACATTTTTTTTGTAATTTAACTGATGCAACATTTTTTTAAAAAATTGATCTAAATAAGTTTTTTAATACAATAATATTAAACTAAAAGCTATAACCTTTCTTTTGGTCTGTTTTTTTTTAAATTTGATGAAAAACCTAAGTTCAGGAAGAGTTTCAAAGAAACGTTTACGTATGCATAAAAATTTGTAGTAAACTCAATTTTTGAAAATGTTCCAGAAAGTGTGAAAACTTCTAACCTATATTAAATTAAAACTACTGAAGCGTTGGAAAAAAATATATTTTAATTATTTTTCTTATTATGTAAAATCGGTGTTCAAAGCAAAAATATTCGCAGTTTTTGCAAAAAAAAATAACGTCAATTTCAATTTAAAAAAACCCAGCACAGTGGGGTCGTGGCATAGTTGTGTCCAGTATAGATGATATCTGACAGTGATTAAAATCACTATCATAAAAAACGCTTCGATGCAAATCTGTAGATAGTATTTAATTTAAAAAAAAAATTGTCAAAAAAGTAGGTCAAGTGAGAGTTGAGAAAACAAATGATAGCTACAAAAAAAAAACCACATAGTAAAATAATATTAATATGAATTTCTTCTCACGAAAGGAGTCTACAGTAATTGGATCCTTGATATTTATTGAAGTTATTGAATCTAAATGAGATAAAAATTAAATGAGTTAAACATTTTTTTCTAACTCAAAAAGAATTAAGAAAATATTCAGTGCCACAGGCGTGAAAGACCTAAAAGTTACCGTTTCAGAAACCGTACGTCGCATTCGTCACTTAATAAAAATGGAAATTTAGCTAGTTCAAATTTTGTTATTTTACTCGACTTCAAAGAAACAAAAAAATTTAAGTTTGTTTAACTTTTTATACTATGTCAATTAGATTGATATAATATTTATGAAAATCAGTGTAATCCCCTTATAATAAAATAAAATACAAAACCAAGAATTTTAACACAAAAATATCATATTTTTGAATACGGTAGCTATTTTCACCATGAAGACAAAATAAAGTCCAAAATTTTTTTTTAATATTAAAGTATATTACATTAGCTTTAATGTAAGATATATATAAAAGTGTCAGTATTTTCGGAACACTTTCAAAAGTTAAGTTGAAAAAGTTAATTTTTTGTGAAAAAGTTGTCATTTTAAATCCCTCCCTGTGGGCAGGTTAAGGGTTAAATTTATGAAAAAAATAAACCAAATGAAAGGTAATAATGTTATGCATCTATATAAAAAAGAATTATATTGATATGTTCATTTTTGAAAAAGTTATGGCAGTTTTAAGTAAAAAAAATTGAAAAAATTGAAAAAAATTAGCGATTTTTAAATTTGTAATTTTTTTGGAGGTTTCCCCGTTTACGGGGAACGAGGGAAATTTTTTCAATTTTTGAGGGTAATGTCTTCGACTAGATACAATTTGTGATCTTTTGACGTATCATTGAAAAAAATCGGTTCGGTGAGAGCTGAGAAAAAGTAGTAACAGACACAAAAAAAAAAAAAAACACATCATAGTAAAATTAATACCTTCTCAGCTTCGCATCGAAGCTAAAATAATTTAACAAAAGCTTTTTTCTTTTTTCAACTGTAGCGTATATTTAAAGAACTAATGAAGATTTGATTTGCCAGACTCCCGGAACATTTTCGATAGTTAAAAAGTAAGTAATTTTTATAAAAATTGCGAAATTATTATATTTGTTGGTCGATTTCTCATGGTAGAAAAATAATTGGGATAAATATTTTTTCTTTAAATATTAAGTACATATTAAACCATAATTTGATATACGTTAAAAGTTAACAGACGTCCTGAAATATTATCAAAAATTAAGTTGATTTTCTTTCATACATTAAACACTTTTTGTACTTAGGGTTTTCACGAAAAATACACTAAAAGAAAAGTTATTACATCTTGTATTGTTAATGTTAATTTTGTCAGGAACAATGTATTTTTAAAAGAGTTACAACAGTTTTATAATTCAGAAATCAATTTTAAAAAAACTTTCGGTAGTGTAATTTTTCTAAATTTCTTTAATTGAAAGGGTTTTTGTCAATTTTTAGCGACAATAGGTTCAACTAAAATTGAAATCTAGTTCTTTTGATACGTAGATTAATAAAATCAATCATGCGAAAGTTGAGAATTTTCATAGACAGACATGAAAATAAAGTTTTGCATTGAACCTAAAATGATAAAAGTTTCTTGAATTTAATTATTGGAAAGAACATAGTACTGATCAAAAATTTACGATATATCTTATTGATAAATTTAGTTATAGCTTTTATTTATAGATAATACATCTATTAATACATCTATAAATAGGTATAGATAATACTTGTATTATCTATACCTATTTCTTAGTGTAATAGATTACATGTTCAAAGGTTTTAATTAAATGTATTTTTTTTAATAATAAGTATATTTTCTGTTGAATCACGATTCTAAAAGTGTTATAATTGTAAAACATTTACATAATTTTTATCACACAATAATCGAATAGGTAACCTCACATCGTTAATTTAATTTTTCTTACTCATGATTATTTTCACACTTACTTCTTTTACAATGTACATGTTTAAAACCACTTGTATGGTATTATAAACCATAACAATTTGATCTATGTTAAACGGTTTTCTTGTTTTCATAAACTTTGGACCAAATTTAAGAACAAAACTAAAATAGAAAGTTAATATGAATACTATAGGCCAATATGAGCCAAAAAATAAAAAGTTCTTCATTCTTGAATCTGAAAAATATAATTTATATAGGTATGGTGATAAATCTGTAATTAAAACTATTAAAAAGTTAATTAAAATAATAAGCGAGTGATAAGAAGGTTGATGCTAAGTAGAATATGATTGTATTGATTAATTTTTTTTAAATATAAAAATAGCTAATTTTAACCCTTTTCTAAAAAAAAAAAATGATTGATTTGATTACAATTTTAGATTTTTTATGAGCTGCAATTACCTTTACTACATACCCACTCAATGAATCAAAATACTTGTAACTTAACGAGTATTTATTATAATGTATATAATTATAAATTGTTCATATTTTATTATAGCATATTATTATAGCAGAAAATTGCAATTTAAAAACTCTTAAGTTTGACTTTGAAGATTAAGATTCTTAATTAGTTAATATACTTGCTGGGAGATTTGCAAGAATCACGTGCTTAAAAACCTCATGGACCCTAGCTATACTTTGTGGGGATGGCAACACGTTCTTAGTCGGCCATAACTTTGGTTAGTTAAGAAGGGTACAAACCTGCATATTAATATTGAATAGGCTCCATTAAGCCAGACATACCAAGTGAAAGGGTTGTTAACTCTTCATAGGGTAGTTGACAAAACTGTGTGACTGGCACATAGTATACATAATAACATAACATACTTTTTAAATGACCATAAAAACCTATTGTTTAGAGACCGGAAAAAAAATACTGAAAAGGCTTGTAGCGTTACGCTACAGCTTTAGCATTGTTTGACAGTTGAAAGAAAGTCCGCTGGACAGCGCTGTTTGACAATCTTTATTCAAAAGAATATAAATTAATGTATTTTTTTTATTTTTTATTATATTTATCGTAATGTTGGTAAATTATTTTATGTTACATATCAGTCCTAACGGGAACTCGAAAATGAAATAGGAAATTAGAATACACATTTGTGCTTTGGAGGGTATTAAAAAAATAAATTATCAGTGGGCAATCGTTCTACACTACTCAGGTGCTGAGTAAGACTGATATGATAGTAAACTGTTTAGTATATATTCGTCTTTTTTAAATATAAAACATAATAAATTAATTATTTAAACAATTTTGCGTTGTATTTAACTAATAGTGATAAATTTAAAGTTAGTAAAAAACAAATTTAAAAGAGTAAAAACGAAGAAACGTTTCAGGCTATTATTGACTATCAAAGCTGCATCATAGTTGCGTAGTAAAAAACTCTGTCAAAATAAAGAAAGTAAATAATCTTATAAACAAAGCAATGAAATAAAGTTTGGAACAACATTAGGAATTTTGTAGTGATGCTCAACAAAATTACAAATATGCATGGAAAGTCTAAAAGAAAGACCTAGAAAATGTTTAAAATACAACAATTCCTATTAGTTACTAGACTTTTATGTGTCACTAGAGAATGGACTTAACAAAATCATCGAAGTAATATTATTTTCCATGGATACGTTTACGAATAATGATAATGAGATATTATCAAATTTGTAAACAAACACTGACCTTGCTCTGAAATTTATAGCAGAGAACGTCACATGAAGTACGGAGCAAACGTGTGACCTGTGCAAAATGGCAGCTAATCAGGAAAGTAATCTGGTATCAGATTATCAACAAATGCTTTAAGCAGTTTTGAAGTTGCACAGTTTATGGCGTAGTATTTCCTGAAATTCTGCAAGAACGGCATCGTCCCTTATCTCTATAACACATTGAGAGTATGCCTAGCCTATGGATATCGACATGAAAGCTAGCGAGAGGTCAGGGTGATGTTTATACTTAAATTTAATTGTGCTAACTATTATGAATAAAAAACCTACAGACTAATAAATCTTACTTCATTTCTTCTTAAACTATGAAGAATCTAATTGAATTATTAGTCTCATTTGAAACGAATAGGTACATCAAAGTAGGGCTTCTAAAATAGAACTCTCTACATAAATTCTAATATACTATTAAATAGAGAAATATACTAACACTGCTCTAAAAAAAGTCAACCACCAAATTGAGAAAAGCTATAAAAGATAAAATTTACGCAGTAGTTAAATTTCTGGACTTTGTAGAACCATTTGATAATTGTCATGATATGCACAGTATATCATTAATGTCATTAATGTATTATTTAAGACTTCAATTAATCAATCACACAAAATGATATGTATATCAATACAAATAAGATTAACTATTAAAAATTTTTAATTTTTGATAAGGATAATATTGTTTAATTCAAAAAACTCTACAATAATATGTAATAAAATCATAATTTTTTTCATTCCTTCAAGGTTAAAAATCATTAATTTGAGTTTTATTAAATGGAAACTCCTATTTGAATTTGTTATTAAGATTTAAAATAAAAATACAAACAACTCTGCTCTTACAATTTTTTTTTCCGATCAACCGTTCGTGTGTTACAGCTTGTTAAAGTTAAATGATTTTGGAATAAATTTCTATTATTATTTTACTATTTTGAATACAGAAGTCACAATTTTTAATATAAACTAATTTTTATTGACCAAGATATGATATGTAAGATAGCAATAATAATCTACGACACACTAATTGAGAGATAATAACAATAGATTCAAATCGGGCCTTAACTATATTATTAATAGCACAGTCTATTGGTTTGTAAGACAAACTGTAATACTGAAGAATCAATTTCTTCGAAAAAACCAACTCTATGCATAGTATAGTAACTCTTAAAATAATCGAATACTACGATAATGTTATCGTAATCATTGCTTACACAAAGTAATCTTTATTTTTGTTGACGGATACGTACTAAAAGTTGTAGCGTAACCTCATAAACTGAATTAAGTTAAATTAGTTTATGTTACACCATAGAAAATGAGTGACTCCTGTATTCAAAACAGTAAAATAATAATAGAAATTTAGTCCAAAATCATTTAACTTTAACAAGCTGTAACAGACGAACGATTGATCGGAAAAAAAAAATTATAAGAGCAAAGTGTGGTAAATAGTTGAGGAAGTATTGAATAACGTCGATTTTAATATAATATAAAATTTACAACATTTGTAAGCAATTTTTGAATTCTTAAGCAATATAATAATGTCGTATAAAAGGGTAAGCAAATTAATAATGGTGGGAAAAAAGAATACAAAAGGGAAACATGAAAAGTATAAAAGGACTGGACGTTTTGACGAAAAAACGTCAAGTTACGGGTCAGGACGTTTGATGCGAGTAACTTTGTATTTTGTACGATTTAATTTATTTTGTGTTACATTTTTATAATACATTTTGTCTTTATGTTTATTTCATTTCTTAAATAAAATAACTATTTAAAAACCTGAATTTAGCGTAAATATTTTATATCTACCGTGCTGTTTAAATTGTGTGTGCAAAAGTCGAGGTTGGACTGCTGGTCCTTTAGTCGATCTTAATAATTAGTGTTCGTGCTGGCTAGTTTTTGGGCTTAAACGTTCTTTAGTAGGTATAGTAAAAAGGTAGTTGTGCTAGTGCCTTACGAGAAGCCATCCATTAGTCTGCTACTTTTAAGCTAGATCGTGCTGACGGGTCTAAACTCTATCCCTTTAGTAGTTCACTAGTTTGAGGGATTGAGGCTGACCAGTGTATACAATGGGAGGACTCGAGAAGAGCTAAAAACGACGAACTCGTCGTCTAAAACGTTAGTTAATTTGTGTACTAACTTTTTGTGTCTACGTCGGGGTACTACCGACGTACGAAAAAATTTGTTTGTACTTTTATATTAAATAAAATAACAAATTCAAAATAGGGCTTAACATTTAAAAAAATTAAAGTTAATGTTTTTTAAACTTGTAGGTATGAAAAAAAGTATGTTTTTACTACATATTATTGTAGAGATTTTTGAATCAAACAATATATTCCTTACCAAAAATTTTCAATAGTTACCGAGAAAATGAGTGTCTTATCCTTAATGAATCACCTTGTATATACATATATATATATATATATATATATATACCTTTTAAATGTTTAAATATAATATTAACATTTCGTAGAAAAAAGTATATATTTATTATATAAAACAAACAGGAAATAATAAAAAATATGTAATAGTAATGTGTTAGACATAAGGTAATAAATAATGTGTAAGATTTTATAGAACAAAAGGTAGAAATTTATGAAATGTAGATCATTATTGACGAAAATGTAATAAATAACATGTAATAAATTATAATTAATAAAGAAATAATGGTAGCGTCGGTGATCACTTCTTGCCTTTGAAATACGATCAAAATTAATATAAAAAGCTCAATATAATGAGCATTCTGACTCAGATGTCACTCTGATGGTGGTCAGAATGCTCTCACTTGCTCAGATATTCACAGACTTACTCAGTACATTGAATTACGCTCAATCATTCCACACTTTCATAACGAAATATATGCAAGAAGTGATCAGTTGTCTATACAATTATATTTATACAAGACACAATATTTATTAATTTCAGCGTGCCATTAGAAATATCAAGGTAGGAAACTACATAATTTCACCAAAATTATATAAGCTTTAGAATTAAATTTCATGAGTACATAGATTAAGTAGGCATACAGGAAAATTAAGTGATTATCAATAATAATAAATACACCAAATAAATTTAATAAATCGATAATGTTTGTACAGAGTTATTTGCCAGAGTTTTATATTTAATACGTGTCTATTTCAGGAGTTAGGTTGGAGGTTCATATGTATAGCCACCATACCACTCTGGGTAGACACACAAGGTGACTCAATCCCACCTATCATCGATAATCGTAAATCTCGTGGCATTATTGATATTAATGAATTGACAAATAATTACAATAAATCCCATATTAATAGAATAAAGATTACTTTATTTTTCTATCATCTTCAAACTTTCTTAAAGACCCTCGTACTCATACACAGAGTCATAATATTATTAATACAATAAAGTAGTAGCTCAAACAAGCACCCATACCCCTTCATATTTATTTATTTAATTCCCTCCTTTTGAGTTACTAACAAGTTCTTTTTAAACTACTGCAAGAGTGAGTTCTCTTTGAGTCACTACATAATACACCACTTAATGTTATGTGTGAATTTACACAATAACATAAAATAGAACCACTTGTTATTAAGTAGATAGAAACGATGCTTATAAAACCTCTATATTGGGACAGCTCAAATACAATAAAGTAATAAAGATCGTTAAGCAAGGATGCCCATAAGAGAGGTCCTATCTCTCTTGCTATAGTATTTAGTTTTAGACTCATTTAGAGAGCTAAACAGATATAAATATACTTAAGCCTATAAGGATGACTATGTTATAGTAGTAGTGGGTAAATTTTCGGACATAAATTATGTCAAATAATTAAAAACTTGGACAGCAGAGGACACTGTATACATGTGGTGTAGCAAGTATGTCTGACAATATATATAAAGCAGAGATAGAAAAAGTATAGGAAAGACAAAGAGTTATATTTTTGATATACACTCCAATGATTAAACTTGTGGCGTAAAAATTATTGGTCAAAAAAGTATGAGGAATCCTGAACAAAACTTAGGCGAATTGTCCCATCTCGGATGTACGCGGGGGCAAAAGAGAGAGAATAAAGTAGTTAAAAACGGAGAAGGCCTAAGGAATAAAATATTTGATATTAGCTGGACAACTTGTGCAGTAGGTGTTTCACTAGTCATGTGTACATATATCCAACGTCTATCCAACGTTTGTAGTGTCAACGGTGTAGGGACATCACCACTTAACTCTAGGCTGGACTCGTGCATGAGGGAGGGAAAAAAAGATAGATACAAAGTAAAAATAGGTACTTAGAATGTTGGAACATTAACTCGTAGAAGTAGAGAATTAGTAGAAGTATTGAAGAGAAGAAAAGTAAACATTTGTTGTATGCAGGAAACTAAGTGGAAAGGAAGAAATCAAGGGAAATAGGTGAGGGGTATAAAATAATATACTCAGGGAAGTATAGTACAAAGAATGGTGTAGGAATAATAATGGATGAGAAAATGAAAAGTAAAGTAATAGAAGTAGCTAGGAAAAGAGACAGGATTATAGTCATGAAATTGATATTGGAGGAAAAAGTGCTGAATGTAATAAATACCTATGCATCACAAGTATGATGTGATATAATAGACAAGGAAGTGTTTCGGTGAGAGATGGATGAGGTGATGCAAGGGGTACCTGGCAATGACGAAGGAGTGATAGGTGGAGATTTTTATTTATTATAATTTAAACGCACTCATTAGTAAGACCTACCAAATAAAACATAAATAAGAGATGATCCAACAACACACGTCTGATCACTATGAATAACGATACAATATTATATATGAATGGACATGTAGGGAATGAGAGGAGAGGATATGAAAGAGTACATGGAGGGTATGGTTTTAGTCGTAAGAATGAGGCTGGAGAAAGAATCCTGTATTCGCAGTATCGTATGATTTTGCTGTGGTTAATACTTATTTTAAAAAGAGGAAAGAACATTATATAACTTATAAGAGTGGGAGGAATAGATCACAGATTGATTATTTAATATGGAAGAGAGAGAGAGTAAAGCGAGTAAAGGATTGTAAAGTTATATCAGGCGAGAGTGTAACTACACAGCATAGATTGGTGGTAATGGAGTTTTGATGTACCGGGAAAAGAATTTACAAAAACAGAAGGAACACGGGAGAAAAATCGAAAATCCGTTGGTGTTAATTGAAAAAGAGTTTGTCAAGACGGTAAAAGAGAGGACAGTGTGAAATGTCGAAGGAAACTTAAATGATGTCTGGAATAGATTTGCTAGTTGTATTAAGAATATTACATAGGAGATTGTTTGTGAGAGTAGGAGTAGAATGCCATGAAACAAGGAAACCTAGTGGTGGGATGAGGACGTTTAAAAAATCATAGTAAGTAAGAAAAAGCAATTCAAAGTATGGCAGAAGAGGAAAAGGAGAGAAGATTGGATGGAGTATAAACGCTTGTGCAAAGAAGCCAAGTATACAGGTTGAGTTTAGTAAGGCGAAGTTAAAGAGGTATGATGAGTTGTATAATAGGCTAGGAACAAAGAAAAATAAGAAAGAAATCTATGGACTTGTAAAAGTAAGAGAGAAAGGACTAAAGATTATCATTATATAAGGTGTATAGCTGATAATAGGGTACTATCGAGTGATGATGATGTGAATAAAAGGTAAAAAGAGTATTTGGAAAAATTACTGAATGATGAGTATCCAAAAGAGATGTTAGAGGATATCTCGTGGAGTCAACAATGGAACCAGTTGTGCAAAAGAGCTATAGTATTGACAAGGATGTAAGACACAGGATTAAGTGCGGATGGTTGAAGTGGAGAAAAGTGTCTGGCGTCTTATGCGATAAAAAAATTCCAATGAGGCTGAAAGATAAATTATACATGACTGTAGTGAGGCCTGCTATGATGTATGGTTCAGAGTGTTGGGCGGTTGATAAGAAAATAGAGCAGAGAATGAGTGTATCAGAGATAAGAATGCTTAGATGGATAAGTGAAGTGTCTAAAGAAGATAGGATAAGAAATGAGCATATAAGAGGGAGTATAGGTGTAGCGTCAATCGTAGATAAGATGAGATAAAATAGTCTTAGATGGTTTGGTCATGTTATGAGGAGAGAAGAATCGGAAGCCGTAAGAATAGTTATAGAAATGAATGTGAAGGAAGAAGAAGTAGAGGAAGGCCAAAAAAGAGATGGAGATATGTTATTGAATGCGATATAAGGACAGCTGATGTGAGCGTAGAGGATGTGGGAGATCGTGTCAAATGAAAGTTTAGGAAAAGGGTGGCCGACCCCAAGTAGTTGGAATTAAGGCGAGGAAGAAGAAGAAGAAAACTGGCTGATAACAACTTCTGGACCAGTATTTCAGAAGTTATTAAGAATTAAAGTTATGACTGGAGGTGAAGAGTGGGTGCAGCTTTTTAGTAATAGTCATTTTCTAGACGTACTCTTCCTTCCGCATAGGTAAAAAATGGGAATAACTTCCAAAGTATAGTTCTAAAAGTTGTTATCGACCAGTCATTTCCTTAATTACATCATTATATTTTTAATAAGCTGGTTAATTATGTATGTTGCTATTTGAAAAAATATAGTTGCCTCTCTCAAGAGTTATGAGGGATGATTCTATACAATAATTTAAAGCTGATTAATCAAGAAATATACGTAACTAAAAAAAAACAAAAAAAATATTCCATTATTTTATGTATTTTGTGAGCAATCAAGTGGTTTATAATAAACCGATCATTTTGTATAGGTTTATATGGTGAACGTTGTACATGAACATGTTGGCTCGAGATCGGAATATATGAAATATTGAACAGGCTATTTAGAAAAATAGAAAACGTTTACAAAGGATTTTAGGTAGCATCCAATAGCGAATGGTCGTTTGAATGGACGCTCATTGATAACCATAGAATGGTTTGAATCTTATAACTCTTAGGTAAACATATTTACCCAAAATATAATTTTAAATTATCATCGTATTTAATTAATTAAATCAATTAAACTAAATAATAATTCATGGAAGTAGGTATACTTGGATATAGGAAAGCTGTCCCCCGATATTCCATTGACTCCCCTAAATGTCTTAGGGGTATAAAAAAAAATGTAATTTATACTTCTATTAATGATATATATTTATTATAATATGTATTATTATAATTAATTATGTTATTTAGAAAAAAATTAATTACTTAAAAATATTTTTAAATTTACAAACAGCAATTGTTTGTTAAATATTAAAAATAGTTTTGAATAATATATTTATTTGTATCAACTAGGGGTCGCGATTGTGAACGGGTATTAGAATACACGGATACACGGAGCCCGGGTACACGGGCAAAACATATATTAAAGCCCGTGTATTTAATATCCGTGTATAATACCCGCGTAGACCCGTGTATTTAATACCCATGCATTCATTGTATAGTATATTAAATATATGACTATTTAAGGTCACGGGTATTTAAATGCCCGGGTATACACGGACTTTAACCCCGTCATAGATAAAAACACGGGTACCCGTGTAGTTCATTACACGTGTAAGCGACCTCTAATATCAACCATAAGTTGATCATTATATTACATTCCCTATAAAGTTGAAGTCTTCACACATATGAAATGAAATATTAACAACCTCAAAACTTAAGCATATTTACACAATGTAAATGATAGAATCACTATTAACACTATTATAATTGTGAAACATTATGTGTATAATATTACTCCTAAGCCGCATTAAAATCTAAACGCTAGGGAAATATTTTCCTGTAAAAGAAGATATCAAAAATATGAAACCCAAAAAAATATAAACATATATTTAATATTGCCAGAAAGATAGACACTCTATATAAGTTGTGCCACCAAGTTCTAACATTTTTCATAACATTTGATCCGATTAATAATTTACTTTTTTTAAATAATTTTTACAGTTTCAAACATTAAAAGCATATTTTTTATTTTTTGTATCTAATTTCTAAATAGCAATTTATTTTTACATAAAAATTGGTCAATAAAAACTTTTGGATAAAGACTTATTAAGTTACAAAAATTTTAATACATTGATAGGATATGTAGCGCGGGCGGAGTGCACATATACACCAGACAGGCTGCACCTACAAAGATGTTATTATAATTCGGTAGAGGTGATTACAATGAACCTATTAGGTTTGAATACATAGGCAGCTCTGTCTTACTTCCTTTACAACTAAAACTAAATTATTTGTTATTATTTTTAGTCATGCTGAAATTGCTGACATATATAATTTAAATTAATTAATTTAAAAACAATTATTTTTATAGACCATAGCAATAGATTTTTAAAATATTAGTGAGGTTACTGTCTCCTAAGCCATCTAGTTATACCACTGATTTTTTTAGAAATTATACCAATAAATTTAATAAATAATATAGAATAATAGATTTGATTTACCGGCATTTTCTTCGATCCATTCTGAGAATGTCATTAACTTGTTGAACAGAAAAGACATCTATTAATACATAGTAAATATTTCATTATATTTTACAATTTTTTCAATAATAAACTTAGTTTAAAACAATTATATTATTAAATACAAAAAAAAAATAGTCAAATTTTATGTTTAATTTTTTTAATAGAAGCTATAAATTTGTAGTTTAGCAAAATAAATTTAAGTTCAAAAAAATTATGTTGTATTTGAAATACATGTAAAAAAATACTCAATTCTATTAAATCTTAGATTTTATGAAATATTTTAAGATCATAATATCAATAAAGAATCCATTCTATTTTTGGATATATTTCTAAATTTAACAAAAAAAGAAAAACAATGTGCGTTTAATTTTTTCAGAAAATGCATTGGAGATTTCACAGAAATATTAGATAATTATATCATTCTATTTGATATTCCTTGACAAAACATATTAAGAAGATTACATTTACCAATGTTTTTAGAATTATATGTGTTCATCATAGTTTACATATACAATTTACAAAAAAAAAAATTAATTATACCTATGTACTAATTAGTACGAGTATAAATGTTTTTATCATATAAACTTCTGTTGTGTTAAGATTAAAAGGTCCATTATAAAAGGTACATTATGAAAATGTAAAAATTTTAGTTTTTACTGAACTAAAACTAATATAAATTTTAACTTTATAAATGGTCGAACAACTTTTAAAGTAAGTTATGGTAATTATCAATGTTTTAAATTAGTATTTAAATGTAAAATTTTTTTTAATATTTGATATATGAAAATTTTATTTTTCTAGACTCAAGCAAAGGCACTGGAACTATTTTTTAATAACTAAAAATCGACCTTTTTATTAGTTACAAAGCTAAAAACACAGTTAAAGCTATTTTATTTGTTCATTTGATTTCTTTTTGATTATATTTTTTACAACGAAATAATAACTCTTTTTTATATTTTTTAATAATTATATAAAAATACTTATCAATTATTAATCAAACAAAATAAATTTTTTGTATATTGTACATGTTCTAAGACTAAAAGTTACTAGTTTTAATCTTAAATTATTTATTTTGTTTAGCTTCGATACTTAGATGAGAAGTTGTTTGTTCTATTTTACTGTGTTTTTTTTTGTGTACAGTACGCGAACACTTCTGCTCTTAGTGAACCAATTTTATTTAACAATATATCAAAGGATAAAAAAATGTTTTCTAGTTGAAGCTATTATCGACCTAATATCGAAAAATTCCCATTATTTCTGTTAATAAAGAGAATTCCCCAAAAAATTAAGTTGTTTTAGAACTGTCAATATTGATGTTTTTAGTTTTCACTTTATATTGAAGTAAATTTGTTAAGTTGAAAATACTTTCATAGTTTTGTTTATGTGATATGTTTAATAATGTATAGAGACCAGCTATTTTCAATTGGCTCTTTGCGTGTTTAAGAAATAAAGACGTATTGTTCATCAAAATCGGTCCAGTGAGTGCTGAAAATAAGTGGTAACAGGCACAAAAAATCACATCATAGTAAAATTAATACCTTCTCAACTTCACATTGAAGCTAAATTTCAATAACTATAACCAGTATTTAGTGTATGTATACGAGGTGTGACAATAAAATAACGAGATTTTCTAAATATAACCTAAACTATTAACGTTATCTATAAAACGATTATTGAAATATGATTAGGAAACACTTATCTAAAAGTACTATAAACACTGATGAAATCGGTTAATTTTTTTATACGTTAGTAAACTTGTTATTAGTGCGAATTTGACTATACTGCCGGAAAATGTTAGATATAAAAATCTAACAGCGTGTTAACATTAAATTTCTTGTTAAATTAAAAAAAACTGCCGCGGAATCATTTCGTTTGTCATGTGAAGTTTATGATGAAGAATGTTTATCAAGAGCTCGAGTTTTTGAATGGCTCAAACGGTTTTGCAATGGAAGGGAGGACGTGGAAGACGATGATCGTTCTGAACGTCCTACCACATGTTCAACAAATGAAAACGTTGAAAAAATCGACAAAAATATTCGGCAAGATCGTCGATTAAGTGTTAGAGCTGTAGCAGAGATGGTAAATATTGATAGAAAAAGTGTTCGAAAAATTTTAGTTGAAAATTTAAATATGAAAAAAGTATATGCTAAAATGGTCCCTAAAAATTTGACGATTGATCAAAAATTCAATCGCAAAGAAATTTGTTCTGACACCTTAAAAATCATCAAAGATGATCCATCTTTTATAAATAATATCATTACGTGTGATGAATCGTGGATTTTTACATATGATCCTGAAACTAAAAGGCAATCCATACATTGGAAGACACCAACTTCCCCAAGAATGAAGAAAGCACGAATGAGCAAGTTGAAATTCAAAGCAATGCTCATTGTTTTCTTTGACATTAAGGAAATAATTTTTGTTGAATGGTGTCCTAGTAGACAAACTGTCAACTAATATTATTATAAAGAGGTATGAATTAAATTAAGAGAACGTGTTAGAAAAAAGCGACCAGATCTGTGGAGGAATGGCTGGGTTCTTCACCAAGACAATGCTTCAGCTCACAGTGCATTTTCAATTCAACGTTTTTTAACTGATAAAAATATTTCTATACTTCAACATCCCCCGTACTCGCCAGACCTTGCTTCTTGTGACTTCTTCATGTTCCCAAAAATTAAAAGGAATCCATTTTCAAATGGTTGATGATGTAAAAATGAAAACGGCAGAACTTCTAAAAGGGCTAACTGAAAACGATTGGTAACATTGTTTTCAAGAATCGCAGCGACGTATGCAACAGTGTGTTAATGCTGAGGTAAGGTACTTTGAAGGTGAGAATCATTAAATTGTAAAGTTTTAAAAATAAATAACTTTTATTAAAAAAGTCTCGTTATTTTATTGTCACACCTCGTATTGTGTTACTTCTATTCTTGTTTGACTAACGTTTCATAACGTAGTATAAACACGAAAAAATTTTAAGCTTTACAAATTATTTTTTTTTAATCGATTTCATTGTAGTACATTAAAAAGAGATTTTGAGACACTGATAAATTAAAATTGTTTTATAGCACTTTGAGTAACAATTATTTTCAGTGATGTTGAAGAATCCTCAAAATTTGTCAAATTTGTTTTTTATAGCATTTTAATTTATATTAATTAAAATTCTTTTTAGATATAGAACACAAAAATGATCTTAAAAATATGTTGATAATTTTCATCGAAGTATAAATTATTTAAATTTGATGATAATTTGGTAGAATACGATAAGCTTAATTATACATACAGTAAAATTAGAAACTGTATGTGTTGTATTTAATAAATAATTTTTTAATTGTTAGATGATTTATAATGTTTAAGTTTCATAAAGTTGAATAAAAATTGTATTGACTAAAACTTTTTTAAATTTTTTGTAATATAATTATAATCTTAATAATGTTCAATTCTCTTTTATCATATACTATACACAGAAAACAAAATTCGTACTTTGTTAATTGTGACGATAAGGTTGACGATTATTAACTCGGTATAAAAAACCAACATAAAAATATTATAAGCAATTAAATTAAACATTTATTAAGAATTATTAAAACAATTAGTATAGAATATAAAAAATTCAAAAAAAAATTCTTACCTTCAAAAAGTTTTTACTAATACATAAATCAATTATAAAATTTAGTTATTAACATTTATTTAAGGATATATTAATAATATATAAATAATTTTTATAACTGTTGACTATGTTAGGTTTGCTATAGTATATAAATTTTTACGAACATTACTATGTAATTTACTATTACAGGTCTATTAATTTACTATTTAACTAATCATAATTTTAATGAGTATGCAATGGAGGTCATGAAAAACAGGAAACATAAAAATTTAAAATAGTAATAAATTAAGCATTGTTAATAACAGTGACAAATTTAAAGATATGGGGGTGTTAGTTTATGATGTTGTCTAAATTATGCATATTATATAATATAATTATGCAGTAAAGCTATATTGCATAATGACTTATATTTATTTAATAAAAGGCAAAATTAATGTTTCAAAAGCATAGAGTGCTTGTAAACAAATATATTACTTCTTGGTGGTAGTTTTTTTTGCCAATAAATTCCCTAAGTACAAATGTAGAAGAATCTAGACTTGCGATCCTCCTTTCATTTTTTTCAAATTAAATTCTATTTATGATTGTTAAACTTGACTGTATTCCGTGGATATGGTAAAATTTAGTTTTAGACACACTAAAAATAAAATTCAGCTATTCAGCTAATATCAATCATTTATTTTTTTTATTTGAAAAAATTTTAAAACTTAAAATGTTGAGCTTATATTGATTATATAAAAAAAATTAAATAAATAATTTGATAAAGGCAAAATATTGATTTTAAGTAATTTACAATTTTTTGAAATTCATAAGCCCTAGCATATGCCTTATAAATAATAGAGTAACATTTACAGGTGGTACATATTATTAAGATTAGCGAAATGTAAAACTTTATTTAGATATACTCCATTTTTTTGACACAGTTAGTTATTATTTTCAAATCTTTGATTACTATCTAAATAATTTTAATTTGAAAAAATAGGTAAAATATATTAGATCTATTTACCTAGATGAAAACCAAACTAAAATTCGTATCAATTTTTATCGGTTATTGTAAAATATAAAAAACAAGTAAGTAAGGAAATAGGTAAATATTTATAAACAATGAGAACAATAGAAATCCGTTTCCTTACTTACTGAATATTTTATATAAGAGGTGTGTTCAGAAAATAACAGGAATTTTCTTTTTGAAAAAAATATTTATTCGTTTACATTAATGTTGTCACCTTCAAAAATATCCCCATTGGATATTATGCACTTGTGCTAACGCTTCTTCCGATCTTCGAAATACTCTCAAACTCGATCTTTGAGATAGCCTTCAGCGATACGTTTTTAATGTCATCTATGCTTGTAAAACGATGGCCCCCTTTAAGGTTCTCTTTATTTTTGGAAATAGAAAAAAGTCATACGAAGCCATGTGTGACGAATATGGAGGCTGAGGCATTGGTACAATATTGTTTTTGGTCAAAAATTTACGTACATGTAATAAGCGTGTGCAGGTGCATTATTGTGGTGCAAAAGCCATGAATTGTTTTGCCCAAAATCCGGGAGTTTTTTTCGGATTGCTTCACTCAAACGGTTTTGAACTTGTAGATAGTACTCCTTATTGACCGTTTGATCTCGTGGTAAGAATTCATGATGCACTATGCCGATAAAATCAAAGAACACAGTAAGCATAACCATCATGTTCGATCGCACTTGTCGAGCCTTTTTTCGGTCTTGGCGTTCTAGAGTGCCTTCATTGGGACGATTAAACCTTTGTTTCGACGTCGTATCCATAAACCCATATTTCGTCACCTGTTATAACACGTTTCAGTAATTCTGCATTGTTGTTGACTTTATGAAGTCACTCCTGAGTAACTTCCATTCGTCGCTGATTTTGTACAAAAGTCAACAGTTCTAGAACAAATATTGCTGTTACGCTTTTCATACCCAAAATATTCGAAAACATTTCATGGCATGAGCCAATCAATATTCCAACATCATTAGCAACTTCTCTGATTATGATTCGGCAATCGTTCATAACCATTTCTTTCACATTTGCCACGTTTTCATAGGTTGCTGATGTGCTGGGGCATCCATCATCTTTAACGTCTTCACAGCCATTTTGGAAACGCTTAAACCACTCGTAAACTCTTGTTTTGTGCAGACTCACCAAAGGTATTTGCTAACATTTCACACTTTATTTCATTATTTGCACAAAATTTAATACAAACCTTTGATCCATTTTTTTTAAATCGAAAATCGATAACCGAGTTTATAAAAATACGTCTAATCTTAGCAGTTGCCACTGACAAAGTAAAAAATAAATCTATAAACACTATGCATTTTTTTTTTGATAATTGGATTCGCCAAACTCGCGAAATTTAAAAATTCTAATTATTTTCTGAACAGACCTCGTAAGTCATTAAGTATCTGGTTAAATGAGTCACTTTTAATTACCTGAATTCGACCATTGAAATTAGGTTTACTTAGAGACGGGATGACCTGAAGGATAATTTACAATTGTGTTATTCCTATTTTAATTTTTACATAATTATCCTAGTTAGTTTATACTAAAATATTAGAATGAATATTATTATTTATGGCTGTCAACTTAAAATGAAATTAATGAGAATTAAGAATAAAAGTTAAGGAAAAATGTAGAGATAATTTTTAATTATATGTTAATATTAAATGAGCCATAACTTTTTCATAATTTTTCAAATATTAAAAAAACTCGATGGTTTTGTCGATTTTTTAAATTTAAAACTTGAAGTATGAAAAAACTTGTTATTTTTTGGATAACTGAATTTAAAAATTTACTATTATTTATAGGTTATTCTAGTGTTTTAACATGTCAAAAACATTAAAATGTATGATCCCAGTTCTCTTTTGAAAAAACTTTATTTTTCTGACAAACAATTGATATACTTTACTATATGACATAGTATTATTGCATAAATAATTACGCGGTTGTATAAATAATTCATTTACCATGAACGACTTAATTACTGATAAAATAAAAATAATATTGAGAAATTTTATTTGACCACTCTTGTTCGAAAAGTGATAAAGTAAAACAAAACCTAGAATTAGGGAAATGGAGTTATAGAGAATATAGTAATTCTATATAAACCTTACCTCTCCTTATTATATATAAAAAAAAAAAATTGTTAAAAAAACAATATTCGTAAAATTTTATTATAACGATAAAAAAATTAAATATCTAATAAAAATTATCATTTATTACTATATTTTTTAAATTTATTGTTCCACATAGTGTTATAAAACTATTAGGAAGGAGTACTTTCAATTGTAGTTTCTGCTTCAAATTCGTCCAACAGTTCTTTTATAGGTTCATTTATGATATCAGTGTCGATGAATGTTAAATTCTGAAAAAAAATAACATTTTTAAATATTGATTGGCATAATTTAATTTAAATAAAAGGATATGAGGAAAATATGGGTATAAAGTATCCCCTTTAATTTACTAGTCACTATAAAATTATTTTCAGATATGAAAATAAACTTTTCTATACAACTTTTTAAATTATTTCAAATCTATAATTAGGGTTTTCCTGTATCTCTAGGAAAAAAAACTAAATTTTAAAAATAATATACAAAGCTAGTCACGATGTTATGAACAATTAAATGATCTAAGGATCATTTAAAATTGAAATTAGCTTATTTTTGTGATACTAAAAGTTATAATATGTCATAAAATATGTTTTATAAATTTTGTAATTTATCCGCTATGCAGTAGTTTGCATTTTTATTAGCTACATCAGCTTTAACATTATCATAAATATAGTTTAAAAAAACTAATAAAACACGCTTATAAAGCACATCGAACTAAAAAGTTAAAAATAATTTTTAGTTCGGTGTGCTTTATAAGCGTGTTTTTTTAGTTTTTTTAAACTATATTTATTTTTCACTTATTAGTTTCATGTTATGATAGTAGTTACTATCAATATCTTGGTTATTACGGGTAACGGGAAATCAGAGTTCGATTCCGGAGAGGGAGTCAGAGAAACGGCTACCAAATCCAAGGAAAGCAGCAGGCGCGCAAATTACTCACTCCCGGAACGTGGAGGTAGTGACGATACGGGAATCATCCCTCGTAATCGGAATGAATACTTTATATCTCTTAATGAGAATAAAGCGTGTTAATATATAAATTTTAATAGTAATTAGAATATATATATATATATCTATACAAGTAAAGCGACTTAAGTACGTAAACGTATCATGCACTACGTACAGCCGTATTTTGTGACGCGGGCGGATCGGACTAACGTTATACCTAAGGTATAAACGGCGGTAGGAATATATACGTAAGCCGTATGGCACGCGGATGGTATTGGTCAGTCAAAATAAAAATTTGTTTATGTATATATAATATTGATAACAAGCACGCGTGTACGGATACGATAACCAAAAATAAATTTATACAGAAATAGTGTTGCCATCGTGTGGTGAGCGAGGCGTGGGGTGGGGTGAATGCGTTACGACAGTCGAATCTCAAGGCCATAGACGACGGAATATGCGATGACGCGAGGCGCGTGGAGGGTTACAAACATACATACAGGTGAAACTAATATAAGCGTGTTAAAATACACATTACATTTTTTAACATAAATTAATAATTGTTTAATACACGTATTAGTATCTCGATTATTAATATAATCAAAGTTATTTTTTTTTCAACCATTAAATTTTAATAAAGGTAAGTACTATGTAAATTTGAAAAAAATTCGTTGTCAGTTTTGTGTAATGAGATGATAAAGTTGGCTATTTTCAGCAAACCACGCGTGTTCAAGACCGTAAAACGATACAAAAAAAAAATATAAATCAATTCAAATATGATATGAGTTAAAAGAACATAACTAAAAGTTTCTGAAAAAAAAAAAACAAATTTTTTTGACCTTCAAATTTTGCTATTAAAATACTGCAAAATTTAAATCAAAATTTCGATGTTCAAAAAAATTAAAAATTAATAAACTTAAGAATGAAATTGAAGTACTATTTAATATGAGTAAAACAGTGCTAGTTCCACAGCGATAGCTTATTTGGATGTGAAGTTAGAGGCTCTAGAACATAGGCTGTTTTTTCATGTTTTAATTATAAAAAATGCGCTATTTGGTAAAAAAACAATAAAAAAAAAAAAAATTATTTTTATTTTCAATGACCTTTAAAAAGTCTATGATATAAATTTCATACATTTCTGAACTATACCAGCACACACATTAGGTGATTTCACATGAAATGACCCATTGGTATTAATTTATTGTAAGTGAATCATAATTTAATTTATGGAAAGCAAAATTATGAAAATATCTTTGAGTTATTGTTGAATAAACTTTTAATGAATTTAAACTCGTATGATTGTAAAATGATTTTAATATATTATTTGATTTCGTTTTTAGTAGTACTTTGTTCTATAGTAAAATATTTTGAATTCCTGAGTTATGTCAATTTTTAAGTAAATAATATTTAGAATTACAAATTATTTTGTTATAAATGAAAAGTATCCAATAAAATAAAAATGTTTCTTTATTACACTCAAATGCTTATATGTATTATGTTGTTTTTAATTTTATATTGTTGATAAATTTTCTCAAAATAATTGTAAACTAATATTATAATGAATATTCTCAAAAAAAAGTTAATTGTAATTGCTGTTAGATTAAAAGTTTTACTAGATCATATGTACTCATTTACCCACAATCATTCTCTAACATTATTAATTACCCAATAGAAATATTATACTATACATCATAAAATTAAACACAAAAACTCAAAATTTTATAAACTTTAAAATGCTACAAATAATTTATTACTGAACGTTAATAAGATATATTTTTCACATAATTTTTGTTATAATTTATTTTACAAATTGGTGGCTATCTTTAAATTTTTTTTAATATATTGTTAGTTTTGTGTAGTCCTAAAGTATAAAAATTATTTAAAAAAGAAATTAACGTAAAATATTAATTGGTTAAAAAGTTATTGAATTTGTTATATCTTCGTGACTCATTCTCATATATAGAGTATTCAGTAAGTAAGGAAACGGGTTTCTATTGTTCTCATTGTTTGTAACAATTGACCTGTTTCCTTACTAACTGAATATTCTATATATTTTTAATCATTTTCATTTTTGCTTTGTTAAATGTGACTTTTATCAAATTCTGAACCGTAATGTCATGTTTAAATTATTTTGTTTAGATATTTTAAATTAAGCAAAATAAGCTCTACTTTGTCAAACCATTTTTTTATTCAGGGTAAACTTATAAGTATTAAATTGACATAATCAAAATTTGATAAAATATTGTTTTATTAGTTATTATATTTCAAAAAATCAATTAATATATAAAAATTTTAAATGCACCATAGTACTGATTTTCATGAAATTTTGATTTCTTCATATTATAAAGAAAGATGTAGAAGTTGGGTTATACGCAATAACTCTACGCTTCATGTTGGTTGAAATATTAACTAGGTCAAAAGTTTTTAAACTTGCTATATCTTTATGACATACTCTGTTTATATGGAGTAGAAAAGATCTAATTTAAAATTGATTTACAAATATTTTTCATTTTTTAAAATCAATTTTTACAGATTTTAAACTAAACTTAGATTTAACTTTAACTTATTATTATTGTTTATCTATTGCATAGAAAAATATATATTTTTTTTTTATTATAATTTGTTTAGAGATGTTTTTCAGAGATTTTATTACATATCATCTTATTTTATTATATATATGATAGCTATTTTATATATTATTTTTTTCAATTAAAAAATTTAATTTTTTTTACCAGTAGAGTTAAGGTTTCTAAAAATGTTAAGCAAATAATATAATTTAGTAAATAAAAAATATGTCAAACTTAGAGTATGAGATATAATTATTATAAATACATTAAATCATTGGTTTTTGATTAAAAAAGACTAAAATCACTTTATCAATTTTTAAGGAGAATTTAAAAAATTTGAAAATTTTATTATTATACGACAAGGGATCAAAATTTGTAGTGAAATATAAACTAACTTTCTGCTGAAAAAAATAAAAATTTACTAAGCAACTATTATTTGACACCAAAGATAAAAGATTTTACCTCCTTTTGAAGTGATGTTATAGTAACGCCAATAAATGTAGCCATACTAGCTGGTTCATATACTTTATGCAGACATCTTTGAATATAAGGCACAACATCAGAGGAAAAACAAATACATAATCGTCCAAATATTTTTTTATCATTCTTATAAAAAAATTGTTTAATTAATTAATGAATTATTTATATTTATTAATATATAAAGTAGTGATGTGAAAAACTGTTCAAATTAGGATTTAAGGTTTGAATTGTATATAGAAATAGTTAACTTTAAATAAAATTTTTATTGTTAATATTAAACTTTTTATTATTATAAATATGTATTCGAATTAGTCATTTTATATTCAGATTTGACATTAGTACTTTATTAAACAAACATTAGGTATTATTTTATAAATATTTTTTTATTAACCCATTAAGGGCCATAGCAGCCTCCCCCAATGGAGAAAGTTTCTTAACCATTTTATACACCGAGACAGGTGGTTAGTCTGTCACCAGAAAGTGGGATGGCAACTCTAATTACCAAAGTGATCTCTCGTTCAGTGAATGAAGCCGCCCATGACCTAGTTTTGAACCTGAGGCAGTGCGCGTCAAGCATTAGTAACAATAATTAAAACTAAGTGTTCTTTAATGTATTTTAAGTGAAATGCTTAGATTTTTGATTCTGTTATATAGTTGAAAAATTTGTAATAAATTATTCATCATAATAAAAAAGTAAAAAAAAATAGACAAGAAATAAATACTAATTTAAGTTATGTAATTATAACTTAAATTAGTAACTAAAATCTTGATAGTAAATCATTTTCCAAATAACTGTAATAATTACAGTAAATTTAAATTTTGACTATTATAATTTTAGAATTACTTAAAATTTAAGTAACTGATAAGAAACATGATTGAAAAAATATTTAATTATATTTAAAAATATTTAATTAAAATATAAAATATAAAGTATAAAATTGTAATTATAATTTGAGATTTATTCTTCAAAAATCATTATTTATCATTACCATAAATATAGTGTAGGAATGTTGGGTACTATTAAAAATGTTTTCATTATTAAAAAAAATTAAATTATAATTATATTTTAAATTTCTCTTTTAAATTAAGAAAGTCTAATTATAATACAACTTGGCAAGTGTTTTTTTATTTAATTTAATATAAAAAATTAAAGTTTGTCACATCATTTGTATTAAAAAATAACTTGTTAGTATTAAATACATACTTGTTGATATTCTTTAAAACCTTCCTGATAATACATAGAAAATAAGGCACAAGAAGCATTATGTAAAGTAGTGTGTAAACATTTAGTAATTTCATCTGCGGCTGCATAAGGTGCATACTCACCTAAGTCATTTAAAGCGCTCATCACCCCATTACAAAATTTAGCTAATGGATAATAATCAAAAACTGGAGATGGTATATCATCAACCTATTTACAATAAAACAAATGATAGAATGAAATATTTTCAATTTTAATATAGCTCTAAAAAAAAATTAATTATCAACTTGTGGCTAAACCATTGAAAAATTAAAAATATTAATTAAAATCAAAAAATTTTGGTTATACAAATTTATTTATTACTTGATTATAGAAATTTGTATTTGTAATTCAATATTCAAAATTTTTTTTTTTTTTTGTAACTAAAAAAATATATATTTTAGATTCGATGCTTCGATTTTACTATGATGTGTTTTTTTTGTGTCTGTTACCACTTTTTCTCAGCTCTCACCAAACCGATTTCTTTCAACGATATGTCAAAAGATCACAAATTGTATCTAGTCGAAGACATTACCCTCAAAAATTGAAAAAAATTCCCTCGTTCCCCGTAAATGGGGGAAACCTCCAAAAAAATTACAAATTTAAAAATAACTAATTTTCGACATTTTTTCATTTTTTTTACTAAAAACTGTCATAACCTTTTTAAAAATGACCAAATGAATATAATTTTTTTTTATAGATATATGAGGTATTTACCTATCATTTGATATTTTTTTTTTTATAAATTTGACCTTTTATCTGCCCATAGAAGGGGATTCAAAATGACAATTTTTTACAAAAAATTAACTTTTTAAAGTGTTCCGGAAATACTGACACTTATATATATATATATCTTAAATTGAAGCTTATGTAATATACTTTATTAAGAAAAAAAATTAAGGACTTTATTTTGTCTTCACGGTGACAATGGCTACCGTATGCTATTTTTGTGTTAAAATTCTCGATTTTATATTTTACATTTTTAACTTTAAAATGCTTTAACTTTTTGAAAAATATATGGATCAATACAATTTATTTATGAGAAATAATATTTATATACCTCTTTCATTTGACTTACTTTTTTTTAAATCGGACCATTTCACTTAATACAGGGGGGGGTTCAAAACTTAAAAATACATATAGAAAGTAAAACTTTTTCAAATTAATTTTTGAAAGTGTTCCAGAAATACTGACACTTTTATATATATCTTAAATTAAAGCTTATGTAATATACTTTATTATAGAAAAAAAATGGAAAAAATTTCGGACTTTATTTTGTCTTCATGGTGAAAACAGATATCAAAGTTAATAAAAAAAATTTTTTTATAAATTAAATAAACTTTTTGAAAAATGTAAGGATCATTATATTTTTTTTGAAATAAGTACTTTTTATATTTATATATTATTAATATATATTAATGTAGCTTTTTTGGAATAACCCATTAATTTTTTTAAATTAAACAGTATCTATAGATTTGCATCGAAGCGTTTTTTATTATAGTGATTTTATTCACTGTCAGATATCATGTATACTGGACCCAACTATGTAACTAACGACCCCACTGTGCCGCCACCCCACAGTGCTGGGTTTTTTTTATTTTAATTAATATTTTCATTACATTTTTAACTTTTAATGGCTTTGTACATCAAACAAATTTTCTAATTAAAAAAAATTATCAATGCTTTTGAAGCAAAAGGAACTTAATGACACTGAGGAGATATAGATAATTATTGGAAAAACAGGTATATCATATAGTGATACTTCAATGTGAACATTTCATAATGAACAATACAATTTTTAAATGTTGAGTATTAATAAAATTTCATAATGTAAACCTTAAAATAACAGGAAACATCTTTTAAATATCATAATGAAACAAAATAAAAGGTAATCAAATGACAGTAAAATAGGAATAAAACCTCTAAACTTAAATTTTTTATAGGGAAACCCCTATTTTAAATTTGATAATATGAAAGAAAAAAAATTACGAACAGTTTTGTAATTAAGTAATTTGTGATTAGTTTATTTTTTATCCTTAAAGAAATGAAAAAAAAAATTAATTATTAATATGGTATTCATTAATATTACACAATAATTATATTTTGTACTTTATTATCAGAGAAAATAAGTAATGCTCAAAAATAATATACTTACATCATCATGAGTTTGATTCATTCTTACATTTCTAGTATTAGATTTTAGGAAGTTTTGTAAATCAGTTTTCCAAGTGCTTTCAGTGATTTTTAATAGTTTTGAAAATCTAGTGACAGTAACATTAATAAAAACTGGTGCTACAAGACCTCTTAAATCAGCACCTATATGTCCCATAGATTGACCAAAATACATACATTGGGTAAAAATTGTTTCTAGTGATGATGGTGGACATTGCGGCAAATCATACTTAAGAATTTCAAGAAATTGGCAAACCTGACATTAAGTTATAATGTAAAATGTAATGTAGAAGAATAGCTTTAATAATAATAGCACCTTTTGATTAATCCAAGAAAAATAAAAAGTTTGCTTAGATGATTCAATCATAGATGAATTATTTTCTGAACAGAATATTAGATTATACTGAGTTGCAATATTAGATATGCATGATCGTGATACCTCAACAGTTCTTAATAAATGCTGGCTATCTAAAAATATATTTTACAATAAGTTTAAACAATTATATTAATAACTTTTAAAATGATACTTGAAAAAATAATATACTTTCTTACAGATATCTTGAGGGATATTTTTCAATTTATCTTCAAACCAGGAATTTCTAGTTTGTAAAAATTTAACAGCGAGCTGTTCTTCATTGATCAATTTTGTATTCCTTAATAGTCTTACGATACGCATGCATTGAGGAAGTTCTAGTTCTGTTCTTAGTTCCTGATATAATGCTAGCAATAAAGTAGAGCGATGTTTTTCAACTTCATCATGTAATAACTGTAATAAAAATATTTTATCGTAATTATTTAACATTTGATGAAGTATGATTATTTATTATATTTTTTTAGTACTTGTACTGTTGGTATAGAACCCGGTAAGAGTCTAGCATGTTCAGCAAGCTTTAAAGCTTCTTCATACAACTTATTTTGTACACATGATAACATAAGTTGTGGAAGTTCTAAAGCATGATGCATAATACGAGAATTCCAAATCATAGCTAAAGTATTTCGATTACGTTTTTCTTTAACATCTGCCCATTGATGTAACATTTCTTGGCACTCTTTTTTCAAAGTTAATAGTTTATCATTTAAATGAAAAGTTTTTTTCATATTTGTATCAAATACAGAATAAACCATTTCATAACATTGTGATGTTTTTACAAATGTTTTATAATTTTTTAAAGCTAAATCTTTAATTTGTTGAGCCATAATAGCACTTTTGTCTTCAAGCAATTTTGGTTCTACATCTAAAAAAATGTAAGAAAATATAATATAAATATAACAATATATATCTTAATTTAGTAAAAAAACTCACTTAATTGTTCTGTTGTACACATACCAAGATGTTCTAAATAAGTTTTGACGTTTAAATCAGTCTTTAAATTTTCTAAGATAAAAATAAAATGTTTTAATCATATACTAATGTAATATTTTAACAGTATTATTAAAGGAAATAATTTTTAGTTTACCTTAATAAATATATAATGTTATAAAATTTAACATTAAGTTAATTGTATCATGAAAGTAAGTTTATATAGTAAACTTAAATTTTTTAGTGTGAGAGTTGTTTGCTAAAAATTTGTCATTATTATTGTAAAGATATGTCTTTATCTTGTTATGGTAGTTTTTAGTTTTAATTTTAGTTTTTATCGAGGTAGACATAATGCCCATGCACTCAGACCTGTTGGTCCATTGTGCGCACCTCATACCGAATTGCCTTAATTCGGTTTATCCACCTAAGTGTTATTACATTATACTTATCATTGTATAAGGGTGGACCATCAAGTTATCCCTATGGATGACCAAAAAGTCCTGTCTTTCCGGCGAAATTAAGTATCTCTCTTTTATGGTGGTTACATGATATTTAATAAAATAATTACCAATATATTAATCAATGATCATATGATTAATGTGCATACATTTTAATTTTAATAATAGTGTTTTCTGGATATTATAATTAAGTAAAAACATAATAGTACACTAAGAACAATTACAATAATTACAATAATAGAATATTTTAAATTATGGTTGTAATCGGTTGATATAACTTTATTATTTGTACTTATTATTATATGACTTTATATAATGGAGAGTAATTTTTAAAAAGATAGGTAGAATAATATACTACATTATAAATTTTTATAGGCATTTATTGTAGTTAAGTGTTGACATGGAAAAAATATTGAATCGTTAATAATGATTATGATTGTAAGAATAGTTTGAAAATACATTAGGGCAAGAATTTAGATTATGTAAATAATTTTTTTGAAGAAAACCATATAATTTCTAGAATAATTACCTGGAACACCATCCGGAAACAACAATTTCATAAGCTGACTATCTTCCATTGTAAAGAAATAATAAATAATTTTTAGTGAACCGTAAAAATTAAACAGCAATGAAACGATTGAAATAATTACTTCATAATTATCCAACAAGTGATTCCAATCATTGAACGTATACATATGTTATCGTTATCAGAATCAAACCGTTTTTATCAGACCGCCGCAACTGCTACCGGCGACGTTCGAGGCGGGCTCCGAATTAAAATTCAAGTGCTACGTACATCCATGCTTCAGTTTAGTCGCAACGTCGTGCCAGTTATCCGGTTCGGTGGGGTGTGTATTCTCCAGTAGTTTTCTTTTCGAGTGGTCAAACGTTATTTTTTGCATTAAAATGTGTGACGGATAATTACAATTTAATACTTCCTCTTAAAGAGTGTGTAAATTAATTGTTGTTTTGTTTCTCTTAATTATTTTACAACATTAGTTTTTAGTAAAAGTACATATAGAACGATAGGACATATTTGAACAGCTATGGGCTTTAAGTTATGTTTTCAAATGGCCGTTTTGACAGGTAGGAGAAAATTTTTATTGTTATGTTTTTGATTTTTTTTTAATATTTAAAAAAAAAATTGATTTTGCCTGTGATGTTTCCTCTAGGAGCACAATAATAAATAATTTTAAAATAGCCTCACTCTATTTTTTTATTTAAAAATTAGCTCGTCCAAATATTTGATGATATATTTTCTAGGGATTTTCCTCTAGGCTCAAGATATTTGGTGACACTGAATGTTAGCAATAATTCAGCTATTTAAAACCGAGTTTAAAAATTTCAGTTTTTCAAAATTTCTATAAAATTGCTTTTAGTTAGGTTAAACATTTTTTTTTTTTATGATCATCTTTAGTTACACATTATTCTTGAATTATTAACTATGTAATACTTTTTAAGTTCATCCCTTATGCCTTTAAAAATTTTGTTTTTTTTAAAGGGAACGCATATTTTGAATTTAATAAAATGTTTTTAATTTAACTTATTCGTTTATTAGATATAAACATTTAAAGTTTCAAATTTTTAAGTTAATATGTATTTATAATACATAAAGTATTACAAATACAGGTAGCTAATTGTTTTTTATGACATTGCTGTCGCAGTCACGGATTGTTTACTATCAATTATGACTATTAATAGATAAACTTTTTATATTATCAGTTGGTGTATTTATAAATTCACAACAATGTGCCCTACTACCATTGATAATAACAATGCTGTGTACCTGCGAATATTGATGTCATAAAAAACCATGATAAAAAAATCACTCTGTATATACAGTAAGAACTCATGCTATAATTTGTTACAACTTTTGCCATTGACAATTAGTTGAAGAGAGATAACCCAGTAGTTGCATTCCTACTGACTTGAGATTTTCACTTTTAGTGATGAGAAGGTCTCCACCGTGATCTTTTTAAACGACCAGGAGAATTTTTTCGTGAAGTTGAAGATTATATTAAAAGTAAAGGAAAAACAAAATTATTGTGAAAATTGAAAAAAACTGAAACAGTTTATTTTAGTTGGAAATTTATGAATTGAAACTCACTCGTCAAAGAAATAGCTATTATATAAAACATTCTAATTTATAATTATATACCCATAAATATTATTATAAATTGTAATTTCCTAGACTAAAAAAGTAGTTTTATATTTATTAAAAAGGCTTGCGGTGTACGAAAGCGGCCCTCGTTCTTTAAATATCCTGTAAATTGAGGTGACAAAAAAAAAAAATTCTAGTTTTCCAAAGTATAGAAAAAGCCCCAGAAAATTTATTGACGCGAGACCTCACACTTTCTATCATCGGTCTGGTTATTAAATTTATATGTGAAAGAACAAAACTGGTTCAATATTTTAGATGTAGTCAATTTTATCCAAACCTTCTTTTAATTCTTACTTTTTTCTGTTCACCAATTTATTACGTTCTTTTTTATTTAAAGAACGCAGTTTGTACTTCAGAGAGTGAAAAATTATTTAAACTATGAAATGTATTAAAATACATAGTTTTTATGAGAAATATAACAGATGCATTCATATAGAGTGCGAGTCATTAAAGATAAGATATTTTTCATTTTCTTGGAATCTATAGAAAATTTTTATTTTCGTAAAGGAAAATATTGTTTGATTAAAAAAACTACAATAAAATATAGTTAAATAATTTTTTTTTCATATCATCAAGGATAAATATTAAAGCTTTAGATTTCTTTAATGGCAACCACTATTTTAGTTTGATGATAAGATAAAAAAGAAAATGTCAAACAAATTTGTTCTTATAATTCTGTTCTAACCAACCGTTTTTGTTTTAAAATTGTTTAAATAATTGGATTTAAAATACAAATTCATCATTAATTTGGTTTTTATAATCCCGGAGGCAACAATATCTGTTTCAATGGGCCATAAATTATTTTTGTGGTAGTTATCAAGAAAAGTTTTCTATACCTGTTGTTCAACAATGAACGATTGTATTTTTACATTGAATATAAGAGTATACTTCTATTAATAGACATGAACTATTAAATATATGTTAAACAACAAATTATCAATAGAAAGTTGGTCAAAAATCGCTTCTATTAAATAATCAATAATAAAAGAATGATTCATCAGATAAAAAAAAAATTTAATAACAAAATTTTTTGAAAATTTTTTCTATTATATTATTAAATATATAATAAAAATAGATGTTCCATTAAAGAAAATGAAAGTTCAGGTTTTCATCTCAAAAAGGATAAAAAAAAATTGTATAACTACATACTATTGTATGTGTATAATTCTACAGTAAGTACAGTCTGAAACCATTAATATTTTTTCTCTCTACGAAAAATTTAAAATTCTCAATAATTTCTGAGAAAATGAGTGCCAACAAGATAATAAATAATTATGTGTCGACTAATTTATGTTAGGAATAATATTTTAAATATAAAATCAATAATGAGCCCATCAAAATGTTAGGATGTGCTTAATTATAGTTACTAAATAAATGGCAGTTTTATTTAGCTTTAAAATATGAACATAAAGTCTGGTTCCTCTTCTAGTTAATGTCTAGTTTGCGATTGTAGACCGGACCAGTCCAAGCCTAGTTTCTGACTTTTTTAAATTTTCAAAATTATACTAAGTATCTACTCAATCAAACAATATTTTTCTTTGTGTAAATTAACAATATTTAATAGTTTCCAATAAAACGAGTGTCTTATCTTTAATGAATCATTCTGTTTATATTTGAGGCTACATAGTACTTGGTGCTAAAGAGTGGAAACTCTAATACCCATTACTAGCCATCAAAGGCTAAAAATTTAAAGAATAATTTTTTTAATTAAAAATAAAATCAATAAGTAATATCAGTATTAACAGGTCGATATTTATGTTAGTTAGGTTTAAATTGTTTAGTAAAATTATAGGAACTGAGTAGGGCATAATACTTCAACATAGGTGGATTTTTAAATTTTAATTAGACTGACTGTTCAAGTCTTGAAAATTATATTATAACTGCTGTATTATAATTAAAAGGGAAATTAAATTATAGTATATATTAATACTAGAACCCAGGTCATAGTTCTATCTATGCCTGTTAAAAGATAACCATACAGAGTGATTTTTTTTATCATAACCCACTCAATTACTTGCAGAATATGTATAATTTAAACATTTTTTTTTTGGTTATCTTTAGTTACACATTATTCTTGAATTATTAACTATGTAATACTTTTTAAGTTCATCCCTTATACCTTGTAAGGGTGTCAACTTTGTTTTTTTTAATGGGAATACATATTTTGAATTTAATAAAATGTTTGAGTTTTTAATTTAATAGTAAATGGCATATGAATTTTTAGTATTTTTATTTGTTTATTAGATATAAACACTTAAAGTTTCAAATTTGAGTTAATATACATATATAATACACAAGGGATTACAAATACAGGTAGTTAATTGGTTTTTTATGACATCGACATTAGCAGGTACACAGAATTGTTATTATCAATGGCAGTAAGACACATTGTTGTGAGTTTATAAATACACTAACTGACAATACAGAAAGTATATCAATTGATAGTAATAATTGATAATAAACAATCCATAAATGTGACAGCAATGTCATAAAAATCCAATTAACTATCTGTATTTATAATCCCTTATGTATTATACATGTATATCAACTCAAAAATTTGAAACTTTAAATGTTTATATCTAATAAACTAATAAAGTTATACTAAAAATTCAAATGCCATTTAATATTGAATTAAAAATCCAAACATTTTATTAAATTAAAAATATGTGTTCCCATTTTAAAAAAACAAAGTTGACACCCTTACAAGGTATAAGGGATGAATATAAAAAGTTTTAAATAGTTAATAATTCAAGAATAATGTGTAACTAAAGAAAACCCAAAAAAAAAAAAAAGTTTCAATTATATATATTCTGTAAGTAATTGAGTGGGTTATGATAAAAAAATCATCCTCTATAAAGATGAAAAATTATTAAGATATCTTACAATATATTGTCGGTAAAGAATTAAAGAAATGTATCAACCAAAAACCTTTTTATTTTTTTAACTTTATTTATTCGTTTTTTTCGTTGAACTCATTGTTATAATGATAAAAATTTTAGAATAAGCAGTTATAATTTTTGTTTAAGTTCCTTAAAAAAAAGGCAGTTAAAAAACTAAATTCAATAAATTAAATAAACGAAAATTTTCAAAAAAATAATTTTTTTTTTTCTTTACTTGATACGTTTTTTTAATCCTATTGCAAAAATATTGTGTCTAAAGTCTTGTAAATTTAAATTTAGTAAAAATATTGTTTAAAAGTCACAAGTTTTGTAACTGATTGGTATTATATATCCACGGACAAAATAGGAATGAATTTAAAAGGATCTTGCTATGCCTATGTCTAAGTACCTTGTGAGAATACATAGACTTTAAATTTTAATAATTTATTATAATTTATAATACCTAACTTAAATTCGTGTTAAGAAAATGAAATATTTTTTTATTAACAAAAAAGATTAGTTTTAGTACCTACACATATATGCACATTTATTTTCTGCTACAATATTTAACTGACTTTATATTCACATTAGCAATGATAGAAGAAAATTATACCAGTACCATATATAGCTGATATTACAATGTTTTAAAACAAATTAATGACGTTTTATTTGAATAATAGAGCTATTATTTTCATGAATTTTCAGTATTTTGTTTTCATATTTTTTATGAATAATTTTTTTCAATTTGCAACATAGGAAGATAAATAGTTTGTTGTCTTGTGTAACGTTTTTAAAGTAATTTTTATACTATATTAGAACGATGAGCTCTCAAGTAAATTAAAACTCATATTTCATAATTTCGGCTATTATTTCAATGGTTACATAATATATTTGTTGAGCTTTAAATTTATGTACTAAAAACTTAAAATAATTTAAATTATCTTGACTGATCAGACAATAGATTTTAGTTTTTTGGAAGTGGTTTACCAAAAGTTTTCAACATTAGTGTTTTTATCCTTTTTAGTAATTATCAACAATCCTTTGAT